GAACTCAGCTCAAGCCAGTGTGAGGACGTGGGGCCAGCAGCTGTGGCGGAGGATGGTGGGCAGTGTAGCCCAAGCCGGGCACATCCTGCATTCCTGGGGGACTAAGGCATGCCGGCTGCTGCGGATGCTTTGTACCCTGCTGCTGCCAATGCTGGGCCTGGGCCTGGCCCGCCTGCGGTTGTGCTGGTGCGGCGCCAAGGGCGCGCTGCTGGCGGGGGTGGGTAAGCTAGGTGGGACCCATGGTGTGGCACGGCTGCTTGCGCACCTAGATGCACACTTCCTGCACAGGACATGGACCTTGTTCAAGGAAACCAGGACTTGCAAGTATGTGTGGGGCTGGCTGCGGAAGGGGGGAGGGCCCCTCTGGGACACCCCAAAACTCAGGACAGAGGGGCTGGGAGGAGAGGCTGGCCCTGATAGGGGTGCGTCCAGCACAGCCGGGGACTGCCAGTCTGGCAAGGAGGTGGCCCGGCTGCTGGCCATGGCAGAGGTGCCAGAGGAGGAGCTGGACCCCTTCCAAGTGCTGGGCCTGGAGGTGACGGCCACAGATGCAGAGCTGAAGAAGGCCTATCGCCGGCTAGCCGTGCTGGTGAGAGCAACTTGGCGGGAAGGGGAGGGCATATTCAGGCAGTAGATGTCCCCTTAAGGCCACGTCTTGCTGGGGTGAGAGCGCTGAGTTGGGTACTGCTGCTTTTCAGCCTCTCCCTACTGTAGCCTGGGCTGCAGAGCAAGATGTGCCAAGGCACTGACCTGCCCAGGGCCCCCTCTGAGAGCTGGAGTAGGGGCTCAGAGAGTCTTTGTTAGGCCCACATGTGAGCCAGTCATTGGTGATGCCCCTGGGGAATGGCAGCTGCCCACATCTAGCACTAAGTGCCAGATCTGGGTGTAACTCCATGCCCATACTGGCTCTGACCATGGGATGGGGGGCTCCTGGGTTGCCCCCAAAGGGGATCTTTCACTGGCCAGACCCTAGCCGGTAGGTGTTAGTTGTGCTTTTTGGGATCCCCATGCTTCCAGGTTCACCCTGACAAGAATGAGCACCCGCGGGCAGAGGAAGCCTTCAAGGTGCTGCGGGCAGCCTGGGATGTTGTGAGCAACCCTGAGAAGAGGAAGGAGTATGAGTTGTGAGTGTGCCGGGTGCTGCCTGCTCAGGCAAGGCAGGGAAGAGCCAGGGGTGTGGGTGGCGCAAGGCATGGTGACCCAGCAGTTGTTGAGACACCGAGCCGGCTGTTTTCCTGAGGGCTGGGGGGTGAGGAGGGACTGGGGTCCTGGCTTCTGGGTCTTCTGAGTTGCCCTGGTGGCTGCCCTGGGTTGCTGCCGCCTCCAGCCAGTGTGTGTGTCGGGGGGCAGGGCTGGGACCTGACCCCTGCCTGCTCTCATGGCAGCAAGCGGATGGCGGAGAGCGAGCTGAGCCAGTCCATGAATGAGTTCTTAACCAAGCTGCAGGACGACCTAAAGGAGGCCATGAACACCATGATGTGCAGCCGGTGTCAGGGGAAGCACAAGTAGGTGCTGGTACTCCTGGGCAGGTCAGAGCCCTCCTTGCCCCCAAGAAGGGCTCTGTGTAGGGTCCCCCTGCTGCAGTCCAGCACTGCAGATCTAACTTGTGAGCGCATATCCCAGAAGACAGGGCTGGTGCTCTGATTTCTTCGGCTCCAGAGCCGGGCAACTGCTGGAGCCTGAGCAGAGTGGCTGTGCCTAGGTGCCCTGCTCTGGACAGGTTGCAGTGCCTCAGGGCACAGATTCCCAACCTGCCCCTGGGCTTGGGACCCCATCCCAGGCCTCTAGAACATTTTGAGGCAGAGGGTGCTCAGGCTGGCTGCCTAGCCTGAGGCCATCCGTGCTTTCCTGGGCTCTGAAAGAGCTGCCTATCGCCCTAGACGGTTCGAGCTGGACCGGGACCCGCTGAGTGCCCGCTACTGCGCAGACTGTGGTACGCTGCACCCTGCTGAGGAGGGTGACTTTTGGGCCGAGTCCAGCTTGCTGGGACTGAAGATCACTTACTTCGCTGTGATGGACAGGAAGGTCTATGACATCACAGGTATTGGACTCCAGCTGGGCTGCTGCTCCTCTGCCCTATCCTGTATCTCCCATGCCAGACCCAGTACCTCTCTCCTCCCCTCGTTACATCCTCGGGACAGCTCCCACCCAGCTGATGGTGCCTCTCTGTCCCTGCAGAATGGGCTGGCTGCCAGCGTGTCCCAATCTCTCCCAACACCCACCGTGTCCCCTACCATATATCGTTCGGTTCCAGGAGCTCCAGCATGGGTGGACGCCAGAGGTGGGTGTTGCCGGCCGGTTCGTTTGCAGTGTCCCAGAGTCCAGGTGGGAGAGGGGAAGTGTGATCACGACACTGGGGCTCTTTGGGGTCCCATGTGAGCACCTGCTTGCCCCTCCCCTGCCCCATGCAGCTGCTTGGGGGTGCACTAAGCAGGCCATTGGGTCCTGGCTTAGGCTGCCTGGGCGGGTGGGGATGTTCCCTATAAGCTGTTGGCTGTGTTCATATGTTACCAACTGCCTGGGAGAGGGCATGTGTCTAACTTAGGGACTGGTGTGGACAGAGCTGAATGCATCTGGCCCTAGGGAGCCCAGCAGTGTCCCAGCTTCTCCAATGACTGTGGAGTGACGGAGCGGCAGGTTGGGGTGCAGCCTAGGGCTCCCCACATCAACTCTGATTCCCCTCCCCCTATGCTGGGCCTGACTGCTCTGCTCTGTCCCCAGAGCCTCCTCAAAGGGCAGCTCCGCCTCGGCCGCTGACCTGCAAGACTTCTTCAGCCACATCTTCCAGGGCAGCCCTGGGCCGATGTCCAATGGGGGCTTCTTCAACCCATCCCAGCCACCGCCGCCGGGGGGAGCAGCTACACCCCCAAAGACAGATGGTGCTGCCCCCAAGGGGGATGCGAAGCCCAAGAGACGGAAGAAAGTGCGTCGGCCCTTCCACCGCTGAGGGAGGCAGCTTGGACTTGTCCCTGTGGGAGCGAGCGAGATTAAGCCCCTTGTTGTGAGTGGCAGGCGGGCAGCCAGGCATATCCTGGGCCCGGGGAGACTGTGCCCTTCCCCAGGCACTATAAGGGCTCTTTAAATAAAAAAAAACCTATTATATTTTATTTTCTTTACCAACCTGCATTTTCTCTGGAGCTAGAAGCATCTGGGAGCAGCTTCCCTGGGGCTAGCACTACCCAAGAGCTCCATGCCCTGTTCCTTCTGTGCCCCAAGCTGCCAGGGCGTTTGTGGAATCCCTTTGTCCCAGTGGGAGCAGTCTGCCAGGGACCTAGAGGTGGTTTTGTATTGTCCCCAGAGATACTGGGATGTCCTGCAGGTCCTGTGCTCCTCTCTAGCGGGCATATGGGGGCACATAAATGGTTTCTTCCCCACCTGCGCCAAATAAATCTGCTTGGAAGAGCACCAGTGTCTCCAGGAGCCTGGCTGGTGGGCATCGGTGCTGCGGGCGGAGGACAGTCCAAGGCAAGCTCCCTGCTCCCCTCCGAGTGCCCGGGCAGGGAGGAAGGGCAGAGCCAGACACGGTGCCCTGGGCTGGAACCTCTACTCCCTCAAGCACCGCCTGGGCTGTGGGAAGGCCTGAGGCAGAGTAGGGGCCTGGTTCCCGATATGGAAGTAGGTGAAGGTGCTGGTGTCCTAGCGTGAGTCTTGGGAGGGACTGGGGTTTGTTCAGCAGAAGCTTATAGGACCAGGTCCCAGAGGGGAACTCACTCTGCTCCCTGCTTCAGGAGCTGCCTGGGCAGCAGCCGGGGGCACTTGTGCCACTGGGATCCTGGTCTTGGCTGCCAGCAAGTCAGTCAGAAGTGGGGGGGAGGGGCAACAGGGAGGCCAGGGTGCTGGAGCTTAGCAGTG